CAACCTCAGAAGGGCACTATCGTTTGGTGATTTGGCTCACCTCAGAGCATCTTCAACAGGCATGCTAAAAAAAATTGCAGCGCCGAAATAGCGTTTGTGCGCGCGGGAGGTTTTCGAGATGCACAAAAACCCGGCGCCCAATGCGGCGGCCCCACCTATAGCAGCCCGCACGAACAATCCGGCGCCCCCAATTTGCAGCCCGCAGCCTGCGCGCACACCCATGCGCTAAAGTTATTTGGGCGCACTGTATTTTGCAGGCTCTGCTGGAGCGCTATTTTTTTTGTCTCTGGCGCACAAAAACGATGGTTTTTAGCGTGTGAGGCATTTTGGGGGCGCCTGTTGGTGATGTGCATGATACCTGAGATCATCCTCAATGCTATCTCGGAAGAAAACCGGTCATGGTTTCATTCAGTTGTAATTGTGACACCCCTGTAATTAAGCTACAATGATCTCTGACTAATGATGCCATGTCAACATATTTTGCTATGCTTAATTGCCCCTTGATTGAAACCCTAGTCAAATGCAGGTTCGAATGCAAGCCAAATTATTAATTTTTTAAAAAGTAAATTTAAAATGTTCATTGGGTTGTAAATATTCACTAATTAATTGCCATGAATAAATCAACATCAGTTGAGATATTTAATTGCCCCTCGAAATTAAAACAGGACCAAACAACACCATTTTAGCCTCATTTAAATGCAAACATAATTCATATGAATTCAAATAGCTCCCGAACTTTTCGTGGTAGTCCATAATATTGCCAAGTATTTTTTGAAAAATCTCATGTTTAATAAAATATCATTTCATATAGACAATTAAATGCAACACAGCAGAGGAAAAGCAAAACAATAAAGAAAATAGAAAGCAGAAAATATGAAAGAAAAGGGAAAACGGACACTCTGCACATGGCCCAGCCGCGGCAACATTGCGACCTAGCCGAGCTCCCCCTCTCGTCCCCTACCTCTGTTCATTAGGGGCTGGGTGGACGCCTCGCCCGCGTCCATGGCACGGATGGTCACCCGTCGGCCATCTCGCGGCCTCCCCGTTGTCCCAGACGTTTACAAGGCAGCCCCCCAGCCCCCGACAACCATAGCCCCCATCACTTTCCCCTCCCTCGCACTGCTTCGTTCTCTCTCGCACACCCCCGCACCGTCGTCGCCATGGCCAAGCTCGTCGTCGTGGCCACTGCCCTCCCCGTCGCCTGAGACTGCCCTGGGAGCACCGCCTCCATCGGCCACGTCGACTACGTGAACGCATTTGAGCTCGGAGCCACTGCCTCGATCGGATCGGCGCTGCCTTTCCTCCTTTGGCCACCGTGGTTCTTCTTCAGTTCCACGCCATCTGCAGCTACTAGCCCCCGACGAGCCTTTTGTGCACTCCTCGGTGAGCACCGCTCTGCCCCTCCCTAGTTTTCCGCTTGCTGCATCGCCCATAGCTCGCCTCGCCGCCATTACCGTAGTTCACCGCCGCCTGTCACATCGCCGCCGTAGCCACAGCTCGCTCCCGAGCCGTACATCGGGCTCCTGGCATCCCCAGGAAGCCGGCAAGCCCCCCAGCTCGCCTCGCCATGCCCCATAGCGTCGCCCTTGTTGAGCTCCCGAAACCACCGCCGCCTCGGCTCCTCGCCGGCGTCGATTCTGGTCTTGCATGTAATTTAGAGATGACAAAAAAAGGTATCTACGATGGATCATTTCTTAGTCTTACCGTCAATAACCAGATATTCCTAAAAATGTGGTGAGACATATTGTGCTAAGAGATTATCTCTTGTCTTCTCTTTAATAAGAGAAGACAAGCCTTTTCTTACGAGTTCTCTCTCCTTCACCTCATCATTTATCCTACGTGTCACTCCTAAGATAGCATCATTGTACATGCCCTTAGCGCTAAGCTAATCCCGCCCAAAATCATTGATGCACGAGTCCTGCACACTAATTAACCTCGAACTTAACTAAAAGGGTGATTAGCTAATCTGGTGGGCCATTGACAAGTGGTTCTATCCCCATCAATGAACCCCGGATTAAATTAACTCTGTTACTTAGATCACAGCGACTGACAGGTGGGACCCCCTCCACTGTTTCAGTGGATAAGGTTGTCTGCTCAGCTGCTAACTCACACGGCTGGACCCACATGCCAGCCTCACAAGCACGTCTTTTGGGTACACTCTTTTTGTAACCATAGCATTTATCTTTAATATTTTTCGAATTAAATTAAATCCAGAAAATCTTGGAAATGATTAAAACTTTGAAAATTAATAGAAAATAAATCGTAAGTCAGATGAAAATAATTTATATATAAAAAACGATATGATGAAACTGCATATGCCATCCACATACCTGACACACCCCTCTAACATAGCGAACATCTACATTTTGCCCCTGGATCAATATACGGCAAAATACTTGGAGCTGGGAAAATATTACATGGTATTTTCCCCCTTCTTTTAAATTGCTTAGTGATGCATTTAGGCATATCAACATCACTATTTGACATGTCATGCATTGTGTTGCATTTGTATACTTTGTATTTATTGTTTCTTCCCCCTCCTTCTCCAGTAGACCCCGAGACTACCGGTGACACCCAGTACGACTACGTTGACGACGACCTGTCCCTTGCAGCAGAGCTTCCAGGCAAGAAAAACCCTCTTAATCATCCAGACATCACTCATTCTTTCCCTCTTATTCTTGCATTAGATTTTGCTACTATTGTTGTCCCGGTAGTTCCTATTCTGATGCATAGCCTGATTTTGTTAACCTGCTATTGATATTGTTCATGTTATCCTATATGCTTACTGTAGGTGAGTTAGTGTCCCATTGGTGCCCCTACACCCTTGTGCGTGTTGCCATGCCATATCACTTGGGTTGTCAGATGTGTGGAATCACTATATATCGAGACCAGAACACCCCTAAAGGCCCTTACAATTGTACGACTCTACCGAGTCGTATCAAGTGTGATCTACCGAGGGTGATTCTTTGTATTTCACTCTCGATGACAACTCTATAGTGTAGCACATCTAGTGTGATCTATTGAGGGTAATTCCTTGTATTTCACTCTCTATGACGACTCTGTAGTGTGTACAACTAGTGTGATCTATCGAGGGTGATTCCTTGTATTTCACTCTCGATGTTGACTTTGTAGTGTATCACATCTAGGGTGATCTTACAGAGGGTGATTGCTCGTACTTCACTCTCGGTGATGTCTCTGTCATGCTATATATCAAGTGTAAACCTATCGAGGGTGATTCCTCAAGTTTCAGCTTGATGGTATGACCTGAATCTCGACAGTTACTATGATTAAAGACATGTCGGCCGCAAGGTACCCACGAAAGATAATGTGGTGAAACGATAGGGCAGGTGGAGACCACCTAGGAGAGAGGTGGGCCTGGTCCCTGGTCGTTGTCTGCGAGTTACCTAGTCGGAGCAACGGCTCCACGAGATACTAATAATACACTAACGAAATTGGGTATTTGATCTGAGTTGGGCTACGTGCCTTTACGCACTAACCATCACACGGGATAATGGAATAGTAGGGCCCTCCGAGTCATACGTTCCTTCTGAAAGCCATCCGGATATCACAGTTCAGAGATGCGAGCTGATTGTTGGAGTGGGCTGGTTATGCCTGCTTGTCTATACAGAGGCGCGCCAGGGCCTCGGCCAGTCACGCAACATGCAAGAGTGCAAAGGGTGATGGGCCCATGACCCCTTCGCACTTAGGATTTAGACTGACGTGTTGACCTCTCTAGAGAGTCTAGGTTGGTCTATGGCGTGTTGATCATCCTGATGCCGGGTATTACCCACAAAAGTGAGTTCGGACAGGGGTAATCGAGTGTGTTGGGAAATGTGGTGCACCCCTACAGTGTAGTAATCTATTCGAATAGTCGTGTCCATGATAATAGGACGCTCGGAGTTGTATCCAGATCTACTACAATTAGAACTAGATACTTAATTGAGACTTAACTGATATTCTGCTCCCGAATTGCTTTCTTGCAGGGTAGTCGAGGAAAGATCTCAGGGCGTTGTGTTGATATACACATGATACTATATGTTACTATTCGCTACTCTCTTCTACAGCTGCAAGATGATGGCCACAGATGATGGTAGTCTTCGATAGGATGAGCTTCTCCCCCTATTCTGGCATTTCTGCATTTTAGTCCACATATACAACCACATTCCTTTGATAACGATGCATACTTAGTATAGATCTGACATAATTCTTGCGAGTACTTCGGATGAGCACTTACAGTTGCTTTGCTACCTCTTTTCTTTTTCTTCCCGGTTGATGCAATCAGATGATGGAGTCTAGGAGCCAGAGACCATCGATGGTGCCTACTACTACATGGAGACCGATGACCAGGAGTAGTTCCGAGGTCGCAGGCAGGAGGCCTTGCCTTACGATCTAGTGTCGTTATTTTGCTCACCTTTCTTAAGGCAAACTTGTCTAACTATGTTTGTACTCAAATAATATTTGCTTTGATGACTGATGTATTATGGGTCCTCGTGACCCGGGCTTGTAATATAAAGTTTTAAGTTTATCCTTTGTGTCCTAGAGTTCTGTTGTGATATTGACATGCCGCTTGATGGACGAAGCCGAGCCGATCCGATAGGCAGGCTAGTGAGCGAGACCAAGACGGGCCAGACGTGGAGTTGCGAATGGGGCCTACTATATGTATACGTGATTAGTAAGCGGTTCAAGACATCGAACAAAAAATCAAGTGAACTAATGAACAGTGTGATTGATTAATATATTATTTTTCATGCACTGGTAATGGCTTGTGTTTTATTTCAGTTCTTTTAGCATTTATTTAATGTGTTTTACTTTTTCTTTGGTTGCACAGATTGTACCATGCAGCGCTCGCGCGGAGTTAAACGAATTGACTAGAAAGGGTGTGCTCTTTCATGATCTTGGGGCCATATATACAATGAAGTAAAGAAAAGAGGGACAAAGACCCGCTTAGAAGGTAAGGGATGGAACCAGTTCTGTGATCCTGCTTTTGTCTCTATTATATGATGCTGTCATATCTATGATTCTGTTTATTGTGATTTTGATGATAATTTTCATTTATAGATGCAGCGATCCGCTGAAAAGTAATTTGGTAGCAAAACACGAATGTCATGCAATTATGTGGCATGTCACCGGTATATATGCTATACTAGCTGTGTTTAATGATGTTGCATGCCCTTGGTATAAATGTTACTAGTGGTGTGGGACTGGCACACCACTAGTAACAAATAACAGTACAGTGCCACATCCAGGCCATTAGTAGCGTTTTTGCATGCCACTAGTAGGCAATTATGCACTAGTGTTACTATATTTATAGTGAGTAGTAACATAAACATATATGGTGCCATGCAAGGTTTTATTTATAAGGCTATAGACTTTGGATGTGTTACGTATGTTAACATATTATATTACCACAATCATCTATATCCTTATTAATTTTGTGCAACATCATCTCTTTTGCATATATAACATGCATGTTATTACCTATATTACTCCGACTATGAGCAGTCTAACTGGTCTCCACTGATTCCTCTTTAATTTGCTATGTTTGAAGGACCATATGGCCGGAGGAAATTTGGAAAGGGATGGAGGTTGACTTGGAAAGAACAGGAGAAATGGATTCGGGTAGGAGAGTAGGAATGGACACGGAAGAAGAAGGGTATGTGGGAAGTTGCCTTTTGGCAGCTCCGGGTCTTTAAATTTTGTTTTAAGCGGATTTTAGAATGTAAAAAAAACGACAAAAAAATTCGCGTGTATGTCTCAACATTCTATGTGCTCATGAAGTCATTTCACAAAAAAAATGATATTTTGTGTCATGTGCAAAATAGACAAAATTCAGTCCTAAAAAAGGCTTCTCATGAGGCTTTTTTTTTGTCTTTTTACACAGCTCATAGAAAATGTAGTTTTTTCGCGAAACATGGTGTGTACATGTAGAATATTGAGATGTATGCGTGAAATATTTTGACATTTCGAAATATTTTTTCTAGCGGCAGGAATATGCTCTCACTTGGCAAAGTGGATTAGTACCCATACCAGAATCCATGATCCATGGACTCTGTTCACGTACGTACAGAGCTTGCACTAATGGCAACTGGAGAGAGTAAATATCCAATTTATCATTTAGTGGTGATTGAAACTTAAATTTAAGGGGAAGTTAGTCGGATACTCGGAGCGGGTAAAGTACACTTATTTTATGGATTAGTTGAGAAGTAAGGTTCAGTACGTAGAGATATACCTCAGCTCCCTCTCGCAGGCCGGCGACAATATTGTTGCCCTCGCACCCAGTCAGCTTGTTGACCATGAGCCTGGCAATATCCTTTCCTTGGTCGGACATGGACGTAAGTTGCATAATGCGGCGCTCGTGGTCATCAAACGAGACGACGGAGAGCCGGTCATCCTGGCCGAGCTTGTCTATGACGATCATCATGGCCTGCTTGAGGAAGTTCAGCTTCCACTGAGGAAGCACACTTCTGTTGATGTCGAGCACCGCTACAATGTCCACGCCGGTGCGCTGTATCTCTTCTCCGGTTGGCCATGGCGGCGCCATGACCTGCACGAGCACGGGGAACTCGGTGCACGTCTCGGCACCTGGAATCGCTTCGCATCTTGTGAATGCCTGTACCTTCAGCTGAATGTTTGACATCCATCAATCATCGATCGGTAGTAGCAGTCAGAATTAGCAATCCAAAGAGTTCCTCATGGCAGACAGCTTACCAAGTCTCCCTGCATCGATGAATGCGAACTCGCCGACCCTGATAATGCCTGACAAGGAATAACATTGATCTGAGCAGCAGTTACGTGCACCAGCTGGCATATATATGCATATATACCATGGGGTCCTGATGATCTCTACGGCCAGTACTATATATCAAGCTAACAACCAGAGTGAAATTCCAGTGCCAGTTTTCTTGTTGGAGCGAATTGCACAATAATATGGAAAGTATAATCCAAATTTATAATAGTAATAACACCTGAGTTATTACCTCAATTTGGGACCTTTAAAGTTTTCGATATCTTTCTTATATGGCGTAATTTAGCCCAATCTTGAACTGCTAGTATTTTTGCACCAAACCAAACACTATTTTCTAAGCAAAAAATACCTAATCCTTACGCAACTCGATCTTGTACTTCTAGATTATCATATTCCAGTTTGCTGAACATATACCTAATCATTGCCGAACTATTTTCTTACAACATATACTACTCCATTGGGCTCATACATGATTATATGATTAGTGTGTATTACCTTTTCAATAACAGCTTCAGTGTCATTCAGTTGATGGATTATATCCACTATAGGTGGCCTTTTGTGCCTATCGATCTCCATGCAACTAAGAGCTATCTCAGTGCATATGTTAACTTGTTCGCAGTATGCTTCTAGCGGCCGAGAAGCATGACACGTTTTCTGCATCCTGTTTCTCCAGTTTGAATTTACCTATGGCAAAGAAGTGTAAGCTAGAAATAATGACATAAATCTGGAAATTATAAAAGAGTTCCATCCGGCACACATATAAATATCAAAGGTCAGTTTGGTTGGAGGCCTGGTCCTTATGCCTGGCAAAAAGTAATGCCTGGATGTTGCCTGAGAAGTTGGAGAATTCTGCCTCCCCAGGTTTGCCTGATTCATATCCGTTTGGTTCTTGTCTTGGGATAGTCGCTGTGCTAGAGTACAATTAGGTAGATAAAACTCTACACACCCATCACTTCCATGCAAAAGAAATAATAAAATAGTACCGAGCAGATGCATCAGCCCACCAGGCGTATCAAACGGGACGCCAGGCCCAGGCTAAGAGCATCTCCAGCCGTTCGGCCTCCCAGGGCGCCGAAAAAGAGCGGCCTGGGGGTGAGCCGGCGGTATACTCGGCGCTGGGGGCGGTTGGGCACCCAGCCGTCGCCCCCAGGCGCCGACTTCAGCCCAGTGTTTGACCCAATTGTGTCCAAAAATGACCCGATATCTGCGTGAATTGGCTCATATTCGACGCGGTTCGGCTTGTTTCGGCGTGAATTTTCGCACAGAAATAAAAATCCATTAGTTCGTCACATAGTTCGGCATGGTTCGGCGTGTTTCATCACATAAATCAAATAGTTCAACAAATAGTTCAATTCAAATTGTATAATTTAACAAATAAAAACTCAAGTTTCATCACACGTCATTCCCGCATCGCCCCAGCCTCGCCCTTGAGCCTCCATAGGTGCTCCACCAGATCGTGTTGCAGTTCTTGATGCACCTGTGGGTCTCGGATCTTCTGACGCATATTGAGGTAGTCAGTCCAGGTTGCTGGTAGCTGGTGATCAACTTGGGCAAGAGGCCCCTGCCTGTAATATGGTTCAGTGTCAAACACTGGCTCTTCCTGCTCGCTCTCAATGATCATGTTGTGCAAGATGACACATCAAGTCATGATCTCCCACATTTGATCTTTCGACCAGGTCTGAGCAGGGAACCGGACAACAGCAAATCAAGATTGGAGCACACCAAATGTCCGCTCAACATCCTTCCTGTAAGCCTCCCGAACCTTCACAAACCAGGCGTTCTTGCCTCCTGGCACAGGGTTTGAGATGGTCTTCACAAATGTCGACCATCTCGGATAGATGCCATCAGCTAGATAGTACCCCTTGTTGTAGTGCCGCCCATTGACCTCGAAGTTCACCGGAGGAGAATGACCTTCAACAAGCTTGGCAAAGACAGGGGAGCACTGCAGGACGTTGATGTCATTGTGAGTTCCTAGCATCCCAAAGAAAGAGTGCCAAATCCAGAGGTCCTCTGTGGCCACTGCCTCAAGTACCACATTGCAATCGCTTTTGGCGCCTTTGTTCAACCCCTGGCAAGCAAATGGACAGTTCTTCCATTTCCAATGCATGCAGTCGATGCTTCCAACCATCCCAGGAAATCCTCTTGCTGCATTCTGTGCTAGGTTCCGAGCAGTGTCTTCTGCATTGGGTGTTCACAAGTATTGCGGTCCAAACACTGCCACCACTGCCCTGCAGAACTTGTAGAAATACTCAATGGTGGTGGACTCGGCCATGCGCCCATAGTCGTTGAGTGAATCACCGGGAGCTCCGTATGCAAGCATCCTTATAGCTGTCGTGCACTTCTGGATTGAGGTGAATCCAAGTGTGCCGGTGCAATCCATCTTGCACTTGAAGTAGCTGTCGAACTCCCGGATGGAATTCACAATCCTGAAGAAAAGCTTTCGGCTCATCCGATAACGGCACCGAAATGTTTTCTCACCGTGCAATAGAGCATCGGCGAAGTAATCCGAGTAGAGCATGCAGTAGACTTCCAGACGATGCCGGTTCTTTGCTTTCACCCGCCCAGGCGCCGAGCCACCTCACCGCTGCTTTTCACTACTTGTGAGCAGGCCGGCGAGGGCGGCGAGCACCATGAGATGCTCCTGCTCCTGGACGTCGGCTTCGGCTTCCTTCTCCAGCAATGACGCGAGCGCCTCCTCATCTTCGGAGTCCATCGCCGGGCCAGGCAAATCACTGAACACCTTGCGGGGCGAGGTGGGTGCAAACCCGCCGGTGTACAGGCCCTGCGCGGCCGGAACGCCGGAAAAGTTGCCCAGACGGCGGCGGAGAGGCTGCCTCGGTGAAACCTCTTCTTTTTACCGGCGGG